TAATTTATAAAGGTCTGTTGCTCCCATTTTTATTAGAAATTATAAAGGAGTTGTAAAGGAGTCTAGGCTGAAGGTATGTTAAATCCCCAAACTCGGATACTTACCGCTTATATCGTAAATCAGCATTCTGTCATTGCCTGCCTAAGGAAACTACCACTCAGGTCGGGAAACATCATCAGGAAAGGGAAGAGGGGTCTCTTGGCATGATTAGCCATTTGTCACTTTGACTTTCCTCTTCCACTACCTCACAGGTCATAGAGGCCATTTCAAAAAAACCCCACAAAATGATTTATTTGGAAACAATTATTCTGCTTTGGGGAGATTTCCCCTCTTTGGTCTGTCACCTTCTTGCTTTCTTCCTAGCTTTCATAAAATCCATGGTTCAGTCATCTTAGTCAAGGCATTGGTACTAAAGTAAACATAGTAAATGCAGTTTTTTAAGAAGATAGTTATATTTTACGAACCCTCAGAGCATGTATGTTTGTACTTTAGTGTACGTTTGGTTAACTATGACACAGTTGCTTTGTCAGTTGAAAGATTATCTTGGATTTGCCACTGGTTGACATATTCGCTTAAGCAATGGAATCTTTGCACGATCTCTCTTGTGGCCTGGTATAGTATTTAAAATGGCAGAATAAACAGGATAGTCATGAGTAAAACAATTATACTTTTGCCTATAGATTTATACTTGCAAATTTATAGAAGAATCCATGAACTAAGTAAATTGACTTCAGTAAAATGAAAATATGAACCTCTATTGGAATTTCATAATGAGGTCATGCTTTAGAAAGAATGAGGGTGGACAAGCCAATTGTAACAAAGAAGGAAGAATTTACATTTTCCTGAAATAGTAAAAAATATGTGATAGTCATAGTTAATTTTTACCAATATTTGATATTTTATGCTGGGCTGGTGTGGCTCAGTGGTTGAGCATTGACCTATGAACCAGGAGGTCATGGTTTGTTTCCCAGTCAGGGCACATGCACGGTTTCGGGCTCGGTCCCCAGTGTGGACCGTGCAGGAGTCAGCCTATCAGTGATTCTCTCTCATCATTGATGTTTCTATCTCTCCCTCTCTCTTTCTCTCTGAAATCAATAAAAACATTTAAAAAAATATTTGGAAATTAAACAACACACCTATGACTCATATAACCTATGAGTCAAAGGAAAAAATCCCAAGAGAAGCTGGAAAATGTTCTTAATGAACTAAAAGCAAATACAAATGTACAATATATAAAAATTTATAGGATGCAGCTAAAATAGGTTTTGAGGAAACTTTATGGCTTTAAACACCTATGTCAGAAAAGAAGATCTCAAGTAAAAATCTTACCTTGCACCTTAAGAAGCAGAAACTATAAAAGTACACCTAAAGCAAGCAGAAAAAAGGAAGCAGAAATCAATGAAATAGAAAAGAGAAAAATAAGAGAAAAATCAAGGTATTTACAAGTTGGTTCATTGAAAAGATCAGCAAAATTAGGAAACCTTTAGCTGATTCAAAAATGTACATGAAAAGGCAAGGGACCTAGACTATCCTAAATAATCTTTTAAGTTTTCAATTAGCAATAATCGTGCCTTGGATAAACCTCATTGGCTACGATACTGCCACTGTGCAAAGCTGCAAAATAATCTTAAAGAGAACAGAGTTGGAGAACTCATACTACCTGATTTCCAGTTAGTATAAAGCCACAGTAATTACTTACTTATTGTGTTATTAGAGCAAAGACAGGCATATAAATCAATGGAATGAAATTGAGAGTTCAGAAATAAACCCATACATGATTGTCAATTGATTTTCACTAAAGATGCCAAGATAATTTGATGCTGAAAAGGTCTTTTCAACAAACGGTGCTGGGAAAATAAAATATTCACATGTAAAACCAAAATGAACTAAGACCCTTCATATCATATGTAAAAATTAACTCAAAATAGCTCATAGACCTATGGGAGCGCAAACTATAAAAATTGTAGAAGAAAACTGGAAAACCTTCATAACCTTGGATTAGGAAAAGAGTTATTAGACATGATAACAAGAAAAATAGATAACGTGGGCTTCATTAAAATAAAAAACCTTTATACTTGAAGACATTAGTAAGAAAAGGAAGAGACAAGCCACAGACTGGGAGAAAATATTTGCAAATCATATAACTGTTAGTGGACTTGTATTCAGAATGTATAGAGAACTCTTAAAAACTCAACAAGCAGACAACTCAATATAAACATGGACGAAGATTTACCAAGGAAGCTATATGAAATGCTAATAAGGACATGAAAAATACTCACCATCACTAGTCATTAGGGAATACAAATTAAAACTATAATAAGATACCACTAATACCCACTAGAAGGGCTATACTAAAAATGATAGATGCTAGGAAGTATTGGTAAGGATGTAGAGAAACTGGTGGGAATATAAAATGGTATAATTACTTTAGAAAAGTTTGGCAGTAAAAGCTAAACATGAACTTACCACATGACTCTGGGATTGCACGTCTAGGAATGCCCGTAAGAGAAATGAAAGTCCACAAGGAGACATATACACAAATGTTAACAGCAATTGTATTCATTGGTCTCAACCTGGAAAGTCACACGTCCATTAACCTGATGACTAGATTAACAAAATGTGTTACAGCCAACAGTGGAATACTGTTCAGAAATAAAGGGAATGGATTGTTGATACCTGTTATAACATGGATGACTCTCAAAAATATTATGCAAAGTGAAAGAAAGCAGCTGCAAAAGACAACGTATTTTATGATTCCATTTACATGAAATATCCACAAAGGCTGAGTTTACAGACAGAACACAGATCAGTGGTTGCCTAGGGCTGGGGATAGAAGTGAGGATTATCTGTAAACAGCATGAAGAAACTTTTTAGGTTGATCAAAGTGTTCTAAAGCTGAATAGTAGTAATGGTTTCACAACTCTAACTTTACTAAGAATCATTGAATTGTACATATACAATAGGTGAATTTTATACTATATAAATTATTCCTTGGTAAAGCTGTTGAAACAAAAATTTGAGGATGTGTGAATGTCTCAAAACACATTCTTCCAGCATGCCTATGGTCTACAATAATTGTATATGACTGCTTGTATTTTCCCACACTCAACAATTCTGTTGCATATAATATTATTAACTTACACATAAATTCTAATACTGAATAAGTCAAAATACGTTTTACTCATTGGAGCAAATTATTCTATGTGAGTCAGCTATTCCAAGGAAAACAATTTTGGAATACGAATTGGCCAATTCAGACTTTAGGTAAAGTTTAGACCCAGTACACGTATAATCCACTAGGGGTTGAAAGACTTACTGTGCCGCCCAACCTTTCAAATCATGAAAGGAGTAACGGACCTCTCAGAATTTGGTGCAATATCAAATTAATGTCACACTGTACTTTTGGAATTGGAAATTCACAAGTATAACTATATGAGGATGAGAGAAACAAAGTGAGCCACTCAAGGTCATGTTTCAAATCAGTTGAAGAGCCACCACTAGAGTGATGTTAGACACAGCTCCCTTTCAAGAAAAGATAGTCAATTGGCTATTATGTTCATTTGTTGCTGGGGTTGAATTTACAAGTACCTCCCTTTCATATATTTTGCTTTCCTTTAATTTGCTCATTGGATTCCTGTTAGTCACTAAATCCTCTTTCTTAGCTCTTACAGTTCAATCCTGTGGAGCGTCTTGGTGCTGGAGTTGCTGGTGTTGAAGATATCAAATCGCACCCATTTTTTACTCCTGTGGATTGGGCAGAACTGATGAGATGAACATAATGCAGGTTATTTGCATGCATTCGGACCTTCTCTGGGTAGGCATCCCCAGCACAGAGGCAGCGCAGCCTCGGTTTCTTTGCAAGCACCAAAGCATTGAGAGGAAATGGAGGATAAAAAGCCTAAAAGAGAACAATTCCTTACAGTTACCACATGGACAAGATATCGGTACATTGCAAGAAGCTGTACAAACCTTTAATGAAGGTGTGATCTTTTTTAAACTACACTTAGTGTTGCAGATGAGTCGTAAACCCAACTGAAAGGAATGCCCATCAAGAACTTCCTCTGGTATGAAACTCCAAGTGTACAATCAAGTGTTACTTGAAAGGAGGACCTTTACATGGCAGCTAACCACGCTTTCTGCTAACCAAGATTGGTTTATATGATCAAATTAATATTTGTTGAATAATATATAAAAAGTGCTTCATGAATAATGACATCTGTGGAGATTAAAAAGTGAGAGAAAGAAGAATATACTCATCATGTCTGATAGGAAACTTGCACCACGATGCTGTATAATTAATATATGTTGAATATGATCCCAAATTGTTTCATGCTTTCAGAAGTCCACATGGAAAGAAAACACTTCATGGGGTCAACTTTGTACATGGTTGGTTGGTACTGCTTATGGAAGGGTTCATATAAACACTCTCTTCTCTTTGACACTATCTTTCCTCTTCCCTGGCCTATTCTGTAATACTCTGTTCTTCCTACCCCTACTAATACATATGCAACAAAAAAGGGGAGAGGGAGTATTTATGTCCCCAAATTGTATCAACTTAATAAGGACTAAGAAATCATGATGTGAAATAAATGTGGTAAAAAATTAAATCTGTCTTTCATTTAATTGCATTTTTTTTTTAAAGAAAGGCTTCTCTTCCATTCATATTGAAAAGTTAGCAATTTCTCTGTCTTATGCTTGACTTCATTTTAGTTTTTGACTCGGTATACTAAGAACCAAAGGACCTCCTCTAAATGGAATTGAATGGCAATCCTATTTCATTACTTATAGTGGCAGGATTTCCAGATTTGACCTCCTAATCTACTTGACATTGTGTAGAAAGAATCTGAGTATTTGAACATCTCCAACCATTTGTATTTTTTCTTTATGTTGCTAAGATAGGTCCTGTGGTTATGCATTATTTACAACTTACAAATGTTTTAAAAGTGTTAATGCATGTTTTTTTTAAAACTTTATTCAAAGAAAAGAGAATAAGTCACTATTCCCAAGTTAGCAGTTACCAGAAATAATGAAAGCTTTCTGTATGTTTTAATCCTTTGTATTTTTGAGATATGTGTGAGAGCCCACCCCTATTCCAAGAGCATCTGCCACCTGCCATTGGCCAGGTCCTCCCATCAAATTCAATGGAAGCAGAAAATGCTTTAGTGTGAAACAAAGGAAATGTGCAAGCATTTTTCCTTCTTCTCTTATCCTACTCCCCCCTTTTCCTTTTTGGTCCCCTTATAACCTGAACCCCAGCTGAAGGGCTGCAACAACACCAGGATGGGGAACAGGTCACCAGGATCATAGCTCAATCAAGATGACATCACTCCCTGGAACTGGATTTCAACTCACCAGCCCCCTGGCCTCATAACAGGAACTCATGCAGGTGAGACACAAGAATGACTTCCTGGTAGGACTAGTAGGAAATCTGCAAGTACTTAGAGCTGGCCATTACAGAGCTTCCTTCCAGAAGTGCCCTATGACATGAAAGTAGGACTTCACAACTAAGGTGAAGCTCCCAGCCCTACCACATGATTTTGGTCCCTTGGATTCAGAGGACAGTAATGTCAACAGATGGTTGCTGTGTCAGTGTGTTGACACAATTCCACTGCTTCAATTTCTGTCTTTCTCTCTGGTTGGTTGGAACGTGTGCTTAATGTAAATGCAGTATTCATAATCTGATTTAATGATGAACATTAATTATTTTAGTAATGAACACACAAGATAAATGGCTTTGGGTTGATGAACCCAAGTCTGTTTTTGTTTGATGGTGTATATTAGAAATACTAATATTTCTAAGGCTGTGGCCGATACTCCTTTTTTGTTGTTGTATTTTTTTGAGCATGTGTCATATGGGCCAAGATCATAAAAGAACTTGCCACTTAGTATTTCTCATTTGTTATATTTTTTTTATTGTGGTATGGTATACATACCGTTAACCACTTTTAAGTATACAATTTAGTGGCATTAAGTACACTCACATATTTATTCAACCATCACCACTATGCATCTCAGAACTTTTTAATCATCCCAAACTGAAACTTTATACCCATTAAACAATAGCTTCCCATTTCCCCTCTCGAAGCCCTTGGTAACCATCATTCTACTTTCTCCCTCTATGAACTGGACTCTTCTAGGTCTCTCATATAAGCAGAATCTTACAATATTTGTTTTTCTGAGAATAATATTTTCAAGGTTCATCCGTGAGATAGTGTATATCAAAATTTCATTCCTTTTTGAGGCAGAATAATATTCATTGTATGTATAAACCACATTTTGTTTAACCATTTACCTGGCAATGGACATTTAGGTGTTTCTACTTTTTAACTATTGTGAACAGTGTCATTATGAACAATGATGTACAAACATCAGTTTGAGTCCATGCTTTTATTTGATTTTATATTTTTATGTGAAATTACCAATGTTATTTACTATTATTTTACTATACTCTTTATAAGAGAGCTTTTTCTAACAGCTTGCCAAATAATATGGTATATTGTCACCTATCTTAAGATTATGATAGGAAAATCTACCATTTCTATTTCATAGCTGGGTAAGTTAAGCTCTCTAAGATTAAAAAAGAATGCCATCATTTTAGCAATTTGTTTTAACTATGACACAAGTTAATACTTTTTGAGACAGATCTTTTCAACTTGTTATAACTGAGCTCTCGGTAATCTATTTAAACCTGCCTTTTAAAATTTTTAAACAGCTACAATTCCTGTTGTGTTTTGACCCTCCAGCTTTTCCTACCCTATTTTATTTCAGATTAATTGTGAACCAAGTTTGAGTTTTTCTTTCAAATAATGCTTGTACTGAAGAGTATAAAATTTATAAATAATATTCATGCTATGACCAGTAACACTATATTAGGACCCCACACATAGGGTGCCCTGGTTGAAGTCACTTGCCCATAATTTATGAATCCAAACAAAAAAATCTGACTATAGTGTTGAAAGGCTCTTTGCCTCTCAAGGAGCCCCTTGTAGCATCTTTGTTGGACTCACCTAGGAATTACTTTATAGCAAAGGCCAAGGCTTAAGGTGGGTCATTTTACTTCTTCGAAGTAGTTGATTTAACCTCTGGCGTATCTAAATGCTCTGGGTAACAAAGCCTGGTATTTCAGGTTCTTTTTTGAGGATTGTGGAATAGACTAATTAGACCAGTGATTCTCAACCTTCTGGCCGTTTAAAACAGTTCCTCATGTTGTGACCCCCAACCATAAAATTATTTTTGTTGCTACTTCATAACTGTAATTTTGCTACTGTTATGAATCGTTATGTAAATATCTGATATGCAGGATGGTCTTAGGTGACTCCTGTGAAAGGGTCGTTCGACCGCCAAAGGGGTCGCGACCCACAGGTTGAGAACCGCTGAACTAGACTTTAACCTTAATCAAATAACAGTATTCCAGACCTGTTCCTTACCTATAGAACGAAAAGGAAGGTGAATTCCAAGCTCCACAAACATGATGGATTTTCTGTTTTTCAGAGTGAACTAATTTGATAAACCAACATTGTAGAAAGACAAGGTTAATGAAAATCTTAAATTGATACTTAACTGTGTCCTTATAATTATTTTTCTAGTAATCCCAGATACTTGGGTTGCTGCCATATACCCACTCAGTAGCACAGCCCTTAGTGGTTATGTGGCTATAAAAATTATAAATAGAATGAAATAGTAAAAGGTTATTTCTAAGTCAACTCTGCACTGGAAAAGGAGAGTTGAAGGTCCAGATAGAAGTATGTGGAGGTGAAAGGAGGTTAGGACACACCTACCTTTGCCCATTTCTTAGACCTTTCTCAATAACCGTGATGGTATTCCTACCCTATTGCCCTCATCTATCATATTTTATGTGTTTATTTGACTCAGTTCTTTGGCAGGCATAATCAGAGTACAAAATTGATACTTTCTGTTTGTATTTAATGCAGAACATTAACCTCTACCAGTCTAGGTAATTTGGACTTTTGAGGATTTGATGTCTACTCAGTTCATTTTAAGGATTTCATATTAGATCCTTATGTTGAAGGGTTACTAAATGGCAAAAGCTGTGAAGTCAGCTATTTCAAAATAAAGTTGTAAATAGAATAGCTGTAAGGAAATGGGAAGCAAAGTACTATGGGTTTCTGTGACTTGGCATCGCTTACTCTCTCAAGGACAGCAAACAGGAAACCAGAGCATAAGCTTCCTGTTGGGGAAGATTTACGATAATGGTGATGCATAGTTAGTATAGCTGTGCATTTTTTGTTCCTATCACCTGATTTCTTTGCTTGATTCAGGGATCTCATTACAGGGGAAAATTGAGGCAGAGAAAATGTGTGAAGGTGTAATAACGAAAGTTGAGTAAGGTGGTCCAGGGTAATGCACTTGTCAGGTGTGTTGGCCCAGGTGTCTTCTTTGTTGAGCTGGGTTTTTAAAAAAATGATCACATTTATTGGAGTGACATCTATATATATAAAAGGCTAATATGCTAAGTGTCCCTCTTCCCGTTCAACCGGTTTCCATGACATGCATTGACCAGCAGGGGTCAGACACTCAACGCAGGAGCTACCATGATTCGCACTGGCCATTTACAGAGAAACAGCACCGCAGACCTGGTGCTCACAAAGCAACACTTGGATTCCCCCAAGTGGGACACAGACCCCGCCACCACCCAGAGCGATAGCCCACCAAATCACAGCCAACACTGCCAAGACCCCATGGTGCAAAATGCGGCCCACAGCCCAGCCCAGCCCTGAAGCAGTTGCTGTGGGCACTGGGTAATGACGTCACATAGCAACACCTGGCTTCCTCTCCCTAGCAACTAGCCTCCTTGGAATTTCTTCAGCCCAGGAACACGACTTGCTTTATAGCCAGGTGCAAATATTTTACACTTTAACCAAATGTTTGTGAAGCGTTTTCCCATGCCTCATCTCATTTGATCCTCACAGAAGTCCTGGAGTAGGTAGATAGGAGACTCAGTGGAATCCTATTTTGTTTTCATTAGCCAGAAAATGGAGATTTAGAAAGCTTAGAAACTTTACCTGACTGAAAAGAAGAAATGATGGACCTTGAAAATGACTTCAGGTTTTCTCACTGTGCAGAATATAGTCAAACACTGCTGCAGTTAAATATTTTACCCTTTGTTCTCCCTGTGTGATCTACAATAATAATCTGCTTCGTGTTGATATTTACTGCTGTGTTGCTGACAATTATCTGAAAGAGAAGTTGGGGTGCTTCACTGGGCTGGAAAAAGTTTAGCTAAATCAGAAAGAAGGTCTAATTAAGCAAGTCTATTCTATATATATATATATAAAAGGCTAAGTTGACTCGCTCATGTGTGATACATATAATGCTCTCGCTGGCGCCAATCACGCATGTGCTTCGATCTGTCATTGTGATTGTGAATTTGGTTGATACTTCTATTATAGAGAAAGGGTGAATAGCGATATTAAAGTATTCTAATTAATTTCTTTTCAGTGTGCACAAATTTGTGCACTGGGCCACTAGTTGGTTAATAAAATGATATAGGTTTCAAGTGAACAATTCTATATCATTTGTATATTGCATTGTGTGTTCACCATCCAAAGTAAAATATTTGGCACCATATATTTGACCCCTTTTACCCTTTACTATACCCCTCTCCCTCTGGTGACTACCATTTCATTTGTTTGTCTTGTTCATTTGTTTATTTCAGTTTTATATCCCACATATGAGTGAAATATGTTTCTTAACTTTTTTGGTAGTGCAAATCTTTGTTCTTCCTCCAGGAAGAGTTAGGCAGAAATTGAAACTATTTCAACTATCCCAGGAAATCAGATGCTGTCTTTTTGGAAAGATTAAGTGACAAGCTTATCTAGAGTCAGTTCTATCTCTACCTCCTTGGTGAAGACAGCTGTTGGCAAAGGAAGAGGCCATGAGTGTCTGTGAAGAGCTGCTGATTTATTTGGGCAGAAATACCTCTTACTGAATGTGGTAAGAAGAATGACAAAGGAACCAGGTTTTGGTTATACTTAGAGTTGCTGGCATTCTGCTTTTGTGGATCTTAAGAATTTATATCAGAAAGGTAACTCTTTGAGGAATGTTAATCAAATTCCTCCTAAAGCTAATCCACAAGGTAGAAGTTTGACCAACCCCCCACCTATCAATATAAAAGGAGATTGGATAGATTTAAAGGGATCTGAGCCAGTTTCAGTGTCAAAATAATGACCACAAGGTGATGTGCCCTGATTTATTTGACTCAGTAGCAACATAGGTAGGAAACAAGAAGAAAGGGAGGTGTAGTGTTGGCAAAACAAAAGAAGTATTGTACAGCTACTCAGTGTCTTGGGATTGTTCTGGAAAGAAAATGTTAGATATTTGGAGGATCTGTTTTCAGCCAAAAACTTTCTGAATGACTAAGAAAAC